CCACCCCCAAGCCCGAATGCCACAAAGACGCACTGCCTACTGCATGTCACACTAGTGGTTCTCTGGACACATGGGGGTCCAGAACCATGAGGTCCCCCAGACCTCTCAGGGCTCCATAAGGTGCCCCCTTTCCCACCGATATAACTGTGTGAGGCTGGGTGTCCCTGATGTGCTTCGGCCAGAACAGAGCCCAAAAGAGTGACTGCAGAGCAGGTACAGGGCCCAGCTGTCTTCCATTACACTGGGCAGAAAAGAGATTTGCAAAAATGTAAAGTAACACCACTCATCTCACCAAAATTGGTTCTATTTTAGAACATGGTTATTTTTCATAAAAAATACATTAACACAGTCCTGGCCGCTCAGTGGTTAGAGCATTGGCCCATGACCCAAAAGGTCATGGGTTCAATCCCTGGTCAAGAGCACATACCTGGGTTGCAGGTTCCCCAGCCCCGGTCGGGGCTCCTGAGGGAGGCAACCAATCAATGTCTATCTCTCTCATCGCTGTTTCTCTCTCTCCCCTCCCTCCCTCCCTCCTTCCCTCTCAAAAGTCAACAGAAAAATATTCTCAGGTGAGTATTAACCAAAAAAAACCCAAACAAAAAATTAACACAATGGGTTTACTATTGTCATTCCCAAATGAGTTAATATTTTTTAAATCTGTGTTCATTTCTAATGCAGGAAATATTGCTATAACCCACATAAACATCAGCTCTTTGGGGTGAATAATTTTAAGAGCATAAATAGGTCTAAGACTAAAAAAGTATGAAAACTGCTGTATTACACTGTGGCTCCACCAAAACCTGTCCTGCTTAATATACCACTACAGTATGAGAGACCAATCGTCGGGATTATTAGATATAGGGTGGGGCAAAGTAGGTTCAGTTGTTCCTATAGAAAACAACATAGTAATTAATAAATAATAATACAAGAATAAAGTCTGTGTTTCGCGTGCTCACAACTGTAAGCCTACTTTTGCCCCACCCTGTGTATGAATTTAAAACAGATCACACAGATTTTTATCTTTCCCGGAAAACTTGGGCCACACTCCAGCACATCACTCCCTGTGCCATGCCAACAAGGGGACAGCATTGGCACAAAGCTGCCTCTGCTGGCAGGGACAGTCAGCCTCCGCCCAGCACCCAGTGGGCTCCGTCCTAGGGGTGATTGCCACACAGCTGTAATTTGACAAGTAAGTCTGCCAGTTCCAAACAAACTGATGAGCTACTGAAAACAAACTCAGTAATCATACATGACAACCAAGCACTTGAAGAACTTCAGGCTCTGACTAGGATTTCCTGAGACAACAGAAATTTCTTGTAGATTGGATTTGTTTTAAATATATAAGATGCGCTAATAATTCACCAAGCAGCAAAAAAAAAAAAAGTCTTCTAAGCAACTACGTATAAAAGGAAAAAAACCCAACACTCATCTGCCAGGGCCTCATGGCAGGACACAGGAAACAGCCCAACTCCTTTGCTCCCTGTTACCAGAAGTCAAGGTCAGTCTACCAATAAAGAATAAGACCACCTCTGCTCTGCTCACTGGCCTCTGTTTACACAAAGACCAGTGTCCTTTCCCACAAACTCTCATGTGGCAGGAGGAGGGGTGACCTCAAAGTTCTGTCCCCAGGCTCTGAGTAGCACTGGATAATATTAGTTCAGAGACTGAGCTCGAGAGCAGCACCTGCACCAAGACTTACCTCCAGGTGCCTGTGGATCTCCTCAGTGAGACGCCTGGACTCCTGCAGGTCATTGGTGTGCATTAGTTTCCTCTTCATGATCATGAGGGGCACCTCGGGGCTTGGAGTGAGGTCCAGGCAGTGGACGGGAGGCAGGGAGATAGGAGAACTGGCTTTGTGTTTCACACCCTGAAACTGCATCAGTTTCATGGTAGAGATGGTCTATGGAGGGAAAGAGAAAACCGGTTGGAGTGGGAAGAGCAGATGTGCCAACTGTACTATGGGTCCTGGAGGTTCGCAGTTCACGTGCACGGTTTCAGGACTGCTGAAGGGCCACAATCACAGCCTAAAAACACATGCTGCCCCGGCCAGGTGGCTCAGTCAGTTGGAGCACTGTCCTGTACACCAAACGGTTTTGGGTTCGATTCCCAGTCAGGGCCCACACCTAGGTTGCGGGTCAATCCCCAATAAGGGGCGAGGAGCGTACAGGAGGCAACTAATCGATGTTTCTTTTTTTCTCTCTCTCTCTCTCTGGGGGGCATACAGGAGGCAACTGATCAATGTTTCTCTCTCTCTCAAAGAAAAATCAATAAAAACATATCCTCAGGTGTGGATTAAAAAACAACAAAAAATACCATGTGCCAACAGTGGGCGACGCAACACACCCGAGCACCTGCAATCCACCCATAATGAACTGCAACAATGCCTGGCATCTCTGCAGCCACTTGCATACAAGAAAGGCAACCGCTCCTCCACAGTCACGCAGATGGTGGACCAGAGTCATTTCAGCCAGTGGTGACTCTGGGCTGTGCTTACCCGCCATGCTCACCACCTGTCCCTCGTGATCAGCAATAGGAAGGTGCAAAGCATGTTCAGGTTGTAGCTGAGGTCTGGGTCCAATAAGATGGGCAGAGCTAGAGCCACAGAGGTGTCACCTAAGGCCCAAGCCTTCAGCCACCTGCTGCGACCTTGTCCAGACGGCCTTGATGAACATACCTATTTAACTACCTAGGTCCCTTCTGGACATAGTTGGAAGGGAAAGAAATCTCTAATTTACAGCCAAAGGGTAAAGGTAACACCCTACAACTTACAGAGGGAGGCAGGACCCGGATAACCCAAGGCGTGGGCCCTGTGGGGCCAGGGTAGTGGAGCAGCTTCCAACTGAGTAACTTCTGTGTGCCTGGCCTGCGTTTAGTATTTCTGATGCACAACCTTCTTTAATGCCCCCAATTACCTCGTGCACAGGGGCTCTGACCATGGAGGAAACGGAGATTCAGAGAAGGTAAGCAGCTTGCCCAAAGTTTCACAACTTTGTCAGTTTGAATCTAACAAGGTCAGATTCCAAAGCCCAAACAGGTCCCCTGGATGAGCGGCCATGAGAGGCAGAGCCATTCCTGCCCCAGCCATTTCTCACCTGGACTCTGCTCCTATCCACCAAGACATAACGTTCCAGGCAGGTCGGGGGGACAGGGAGCTGAGCAAGAGTGCAAGGCTCCCGACTCACCTTGTTCCCATACTGCATGACATGGCTGGTGTTTGTGTGGGACTTCACCAGCTGGTACTGCTTGTGCAGAGTCTCTTTGGTCAAGTCCTCCTGCAAAAATGGAAATAGTTAAAGTCCTTCAACCTTCAGAGCCTGGACATTAAGCCTCAGCTGAACAGCTGGCCCCCTGAAGGGCTCACCACATCCGAGTCCTCCATCCAGTTGACACTATACCAGTCCCCCAGGTACGTGGACCTCTGCTCATCATAGTAACAGGCGTAGGATGACTCGTCTGGATTGGCGGCAGTTGTCGCATAAACTACAAGGAATTAAAGACACCTTTAGTCACATTTTATTCCCTGCTGTGGACTCCACTTGATGCTTGAGTCTTCTCTTCTTTCCTGATGCAATCAAAGTGCCACCTGTAGTCAGCCAAGGGCGGGTGCGAGAAGTCGCTGTACCCAGCACTGCCAGCTCAGTTACAGTAACGCAACTAAAATGACATGTGGAAGAAAGAAGCCGGCTGACAGACACTTCGTATAGCAATAAGCAAGCACCCATGCTTACCAGGACATGAGGCTATTCTGGCATAAAGCTGTAGGACTTGAATAGGTCTGGCAGCTGGAAGAATATGTACCTCACTTAGTTTCTGGAAAGTTAACATTTACTGAAGAAACTGACTGACTGAACCTATGCAACAGCGACCATTTCCTATCCAGCTGCAAGGGGCTCAGAATGGTGCTTGACAAATGTTATCACTTAAAATAATAAACAGGTACTATCTTTATACCCATTTTACAGGTGGGAATACCTGAGGGTCAGAGAGAGTAAGTCACCTGGCCAAGATCAGAGCCAGCAAGCACCACGCCGCAGAGGACTGAGGCACCAAAGACTGTGTGATGATTCTGGACCTATGGAGCTTTACAAGAACCTGGACAAGCACCATGAAACCCACATGCAGATCCTTCTTCTCTGGCCACTAACCCTTGAGGAGTAGAGGAAGCCCAGAGCTGCCTGCACCTATCTTCACACTTCTAGGCTGCCCTAGACCCCCGCTTATATACAGTACTTGGTTCTTCACAGTGGTAGAATCAGAGAATAACCAACTGTACCCTGAGCAACGGGCTCACCCAGCCTGCCTCCGGGGCCAGGGCTCCCACCACCTACCATTGATGTCGGTGGGCAGGTGTCTCATCATGGACCCAGACTCACAGGCTTCAATGTAGAACACCATCTGTGAGGTGAACAAGACAGGCGGACTCATACCTCAGCCAGGCAGGGTGCTCACCAGTGCTACTTTGGCTCTGCCCCTCTCCTGACCCATTCTATGAGTCTTGGGCTTTTGCTCTGGGCGACATCTCTGCTGTAAGAGGTTTGCTCCCAGAGGCTATGGAAGATGTTGTCACATGAACCAGAAGGACTCGAATTTATTCATCACTAATAGAATAAGTGATCTATTAGCTGAAATAACGCAGAGAAAACAGCCACAGACAATGCAAAGGAAAACCATTTCACAGTCCAGCACAGGGAGATGGGTGGCAGTTCACCATCTTCCCAGTTCACCATCATGTCTATGCCTGAGCTATGCAGTTTCTATAAAGGCTGCTACCAGGCAAGCGAGGGCCAAGTGAAAATAAGCTGGTGATACTTTCCTCCCCAGCTGCCCCAAATTGGTGCCAGTCCTAGGGACAGTAGTCCTCACAGTACGGCCCTAGTCCACCAGCATCAGCGTCAACTCAGGCAAATTCTCAGGCCTCTCCCCAGACCTCTGAGTCAAACTCTGGGGTGGGACCTGCACTCTTGGTTGTAACAAGATCCCCAGTAATTCCAACCTACTAGCTGAAGCCCCAGGATCAGAAAAGGTGACACTTTGGGAGACCAGGATGACCGCAAGACCACCCTTTCCAGAAAGCGCAGCCACCCAGGATCAGAAGGCCAGCTGCAGAACATCAGGCTCTACTTCCACTGCCTTCCTCACACTCCTCCCCAGGCCACCCCAAATGCTGACATTACCTTTTGGTACTTTTTGTGTTTGTACATGTACTGGATGGTCTTATTCAGGTCCTTCACATGAAGCTAAAAGGTAAGAATACTGACATTCAGATCAAGACCTCAAGAGAAACCACTCGCTGACAACCTGTGATAAAGTCCAATGATGCTTTAGAATTCTGATTGACCAATCCCTGGAAATAATCGTGGCGAACAGCTTTATCCCACAGTGTCATCCCAAGGGCTTCATTCATATATTTTAAAGGGGCAGGAGAATATGCTTCCTCAGTCCTTACTTTGCCCAGAGCATCCAGAGACAGTGTTCTATTACTATGTCTAGTGCAAGGCCCACAAATCCTGAGACGGCCACTGATGCTGTGGTAGGTAGAGAAATGTAGGGAAAGTGGCCGGAAGAGGTGCCTCTGGATAGGTTTCACCTCTGGGTAGAGTTCAGGCTGCTAAATGTGTCCTTCCCCCACACACACACCACACTGGTAGGATGTTAGAAACCCACATCACAGGTTAATGTCACCCCCAAGGTTTTGTTTTCCATTCTAGTTTGTCTTTCAAATGTTAAGAAAAACTTACATCGTCGTTAGGAAAAGCCAGTAGTCCAGTAGCTCCGTGATCAGTGAAGTAAACAAACACGTGGTCCCGGGGGCCGCTGTCAAGAGACAATGACAAACGAAAGTCAAAGTCGACAGTTTCCTATTTCTATTTTTACTTCCATTTCTCTAAAAAGTTGCCCTTACGAAAAAACTAAGAAGTTTGAGGATTAGTCTCCCAACTAGGCACAAAGTCATTCTGAGCCACAAGGCCTATCCCAGAGCCTCGGGACTCTGGGTCATGGCCAGGGAGGAGGAGACCCGTGCTGGGTAGCTCATTAGACCAGGCATGATTTGGAAAGTGGGGTCCTTTGGCAATTGGGCCTCATCCCAGGCAGCCACATCCTCCAACCAGATCTCCCCCAAAAGAACAAGGGAGCCGGAACATACATCCAGACATGTCCTGCAGTTCCAGCTTCCCCTCCGGGCCCCTGGGCCTGCACAGTTTGGGACCCCAGCCTGCCCACCCTCGCCAGGGCTTCCAGTCAAGGCACTGCTTCCACTCAGAGGATGCAGAGATGTAACAGCTCGCTTGGAGCCAATGTGGTTCATCCCACACTGATGTCCGTCTCTGCTCTAACTCACACGAGCTTACCTGTGCCCAGGTCTCCCCTCTATTGTGAGAGAAAGACCACCATTTTCCAAGTATCTGAGACTCTGAAGGTGTGCTACTAAATACCCCAACATCATATAAAAATACTACAAAAAGAGATGCTAAACAAAACATCTATAACCCGCAGCAGCAGGGTAAGCACCAGTGTTGGTTCTCCTGGTAGGAAGGTTAGCTCTGTGCTTATGAACGTGCTCCTCCCCACTGCGCTGACTGATCTGTGATCAGAGCACAGGGCTGGCACAGGCCAGGGCCTGCGACCTGACCTGCTGCAGGGCTTCACACCTGTCTCAGGATGTATACCACTGGGAGTGGAATGTACAGCACTAGGATCCATGGACAACAAAAGAGGCAGGTGTAGGTGATAGGGAGCATTTCACTGAGAACAATGAGGAACTCTGGGTCACAGGGTTAATGTGGTGCAGAAATGGGCTGCGGAAAGAAGCCATCCAACCTGTGCAGCCTGTCTTAGGACAGAGCTCCCCACTTGGCCATTTCTCACCAGTAAACAAGCTAGAAGCCAAGACCAACTCGATTCTGGGTTGCCAGGTCATTCAGAAAAGTGTGACGCCGCAAAGCAAGCAGACCTTACCTCTTCAAGACCTTCCCAGATCCTTTGCCCTTCACTGCTTCTTCATCACCTCTCAACACAGCAAGGAAATTTTGCGGGGTGACATCCTACAAAGAATTGGGAGTTGAAATCAGATGTGTCATTCCAAACCACAGGATCTGCTGAGTCTGTAGCAGAGCGGGGCCACCAGCCCACACGTCTCCGAGGCCCAACGTTTAAGAGCAAACACTCTGCGCCCGGCCGGGCGTGGCTCAGCGGTTGAGCGTCGACCTAGGATCCAGGCGATCGGGGTTCGATTCCTGGTCAGGGCACATGCCTGGTTGCAGGCTTGATCAATGACTCTCTCATCATTGATGTTTCTCTCTCTCTCTCCCCCTCTCCTTTCCTCTCTCTGAAATCAATAAAGATATATTTTAAAAAAAAAATAAGAGCAAACACTTTGGAACCAAGAAAGACCCAAATCAAGGTCTCCGTGGCATGTGCACGATGTCTTCTCAAAGAACATCTTGTCTCTGGCTAATAGCACTCAGCAAGCCTGCATTCCTCCTTGACCATTATAGAGGCCATGTGGAGAACCCCAAAGATGCCAGTCAGGACGAGTAGCAGAGGAAGAGCAGAGCTCCTCAGGCAGACAGCAAAGAGGCAGCAGAAACGTGAGTGCTGGGCCCACCCATGCATCCAGCTTGCTGCCTAAAAGGCCAAATCCTGAGGACATACCATATCCTTGAAGGAGATTTTCTAAATTGATACCAACTCAATTAAAAAAAAAAAGCAATACAGGAAAGCACAAAGAAAAAAATCACCCAAAATCCCACCACTTCCATTCCAGCCATTTCCTTATGCAGCATGGGGCAAAAGTAGGTTTACAATTGTTTGTATGGAAACTAATACAATAATTAAGAATTAAGAATTAACAATACAAGAATAAACTGTGTTTTGTGTACTCACAACTGTAAACCTACTTGTGCCCCACCTTATATAACTATATAGAAACAATTCCATAAAAATGGAATCATCTATATTACACGTATGATGTATTTAACTCTACTCGAACTTAAAAGACTGAAACCCAAAAGAACTGCTAAACTTCAGAGAAGCGTTTCTCACCAGGAATATTAGCTCCTGAAAGATCCCTGACAGAAGAGACTAGGAAAACTATGAGGCTGAGTCACCATAGTGTTCTTAAAAATGTGCCAGTTCATACAGCCTCAGTGGACTGGGAGGGATGGAATCATTCAAAGTGATACACGAGAGCAGGAACAAAAACCATTGCAGCAGAATCCAGAGAAGCTCTGCCCAGGGATGGTGCTGAGAAAATTGATTTTCGAAAAAAGCACAGATAACCTATAATCAGGTAAAGGGCAATACCTCCAGAAAATCAGGTATGATAGAAGGAAATGTGTTACCAGGCTTAAGTATAAGAAGACTGGAAACTAAAGATTGGTAGGCTACAACTTATTTCTAACTTCTTTCTTTTTTCTCTCTACTTTCTGTCAAAATTCTTTAAAGCTACTTCTCAAGCACAAATCCTAATATAAACATGAAACACTAATAGAAATCAGTTTAGTGAGGTTCCAATGCTAGAAATGCACAAAACAGGGAAAATCATCATGAAAACGAGAATAACAGTGCCACAGGCCGCCTCACCTCCCCAGTGTAGTCCTTCAGGACTCCTTTGTACACATCTGAGCCATTGGGCCTGTTGATCACAACTCCTGGAGTGGGGTTGCTGAAAATCAAAGGATACAACTGAAGTCCAAACTCTGACATGTCTCTGAAATCTCTCCCCCAAGCTATGCCCCCGTTACGCATAAAAATTGTATTCGACCATGTCTGACAAAGACACTGCTCATTGCACACACCATCACATGCCATGCCTAGTGATTTTAGCAGCTTGGGGATCTCAGTCACCCCACAAGTCAAGTTCTTGGCAGGAGCAGTGAAGGCTGAGATCTAACACTCGGGACAGGGACCAAATCCCAGGTGTGCCTGGTCTCCCTCCTGCTGAAAACCACACAGTATCTTGGGGGCGAGATCTCACAAGGAGATCTCTCAGAGCAAAACTACTTGTAGACAAGACTTTACTATGAGAGTTTAGGGGTTAAAGCTCAGCGTGGATTCTGAGCTGTGACCTCAGGAAAGGGCAGTAGCCTCACAGGGGCCAAGCAGGGTGGCCGAGGAGCTGGGGAGACTCCCACTGGTTAAGTTTCATACCCATACTTGCTGTTCCTGATCTCTGCACTGCCACCTGCTCGGAGGTTAGGAACAAGCACCGCAGAGCACAAGGATGAGGTCTCCAGGCTGAGAAGGAGCTTATTATGCTTTCAACACTTCCAAAGCACCAGCCCAAGACCCCCTTTAGCACCGACTACCCACATCCCTGCCACTGCCAGGGTGCCCGAGTTATGTCCAAAGCTCCACATGAGTCAGCCCTGTGAAATTTCACCTGCAAGTCTGTTTATATCCTAATGTTAGGCCGCGGGTCTAATGACGCCACCAGTGAAAGCTCCCCGTACTTACTCTTCAGAGTTGGCGATGTCGTCGTACATCATCACAACGATCTGCTCATCGGGAATCCCATTGCGGTGAACAATCTGGTAGGCGTGGCATGCATCTGCCTGGGAGAAGCGATTTCGGCAAGTGTTAGATTTTGCCCAGAAGGAGGCCAGTTTTGGAGTTCTAATGAGCAACACATTCCTTCTCATGGAAGACATGCTGTGAATCATTCCCAATTGGTCAGGTCTTTATTTTAAAACATATACGTTTAGATGCAAAAAGCAATCAGGTGGGAAACAAGACAGCAACGTAAGTAACAGCTGCACCTGCGGCCTCCCATGACCACATCAAAATCACAACTAAAATACAGGACCACCATCACTCAGAACCTCCTGAAATCTGGCAGAACAGAAGCCCTACAACCAGGGAACTGAGGAAGCACCGAGACCGGTAGGAGGGGTGGAAACTTGGGCGGATCGGGGCTGGATCAGAGACACAGAAGAGGGCCAAACCTGGTGCCGTGGGTTAAACCCGGGAGGGAATCTTGGCAGCAGAGGCTTCCTGGAGGAGGGGGTCCCAGCCCCCCATGAAGCCCCCAACCCAGGGCTCCAGGGCCGGGAGGAGACAGCCCCACAACTTCGGGCTGTGAAACCCAGCGGGGACTGTCACTGAGGGTTGCAGAGGCTGCGGGAGCCCCAGCAGCTCCTCTTAAAGGGTCGAGTATGGACTCAGATGCTCCCTGAGCCCTGAGCCCAGAGCCCAGCAGCAGCTTGAAAGGAACCTGGGACACCCAGGGAGAAACCAACCTGCCTGAGATTGGGGTGAGAGCTGGAGGGGCAGCTTCCTCCCAGGCAGAAGAGCTGGCAGAGGCCACTGCTCCTTAGGCGAGCCCTCCCCACCCAGAGCCGGCAGGCAGGTGCCACATCTGAATCGCCAGCACCTGACTCACACCTTTGGCCCAGCCCGATGATTCCCGGAGGCCCTGCCCCTCCCCACCTGCAGGCTCATCCAGGCCATTTCTAGGGGCTTTTCTGTGCAAGTGGCCTCTCGAGCTTCATGCTTAGGACTTTCCTAAAATCTCTCTCCTGGGCAACGCCAAGCCCAGCACAAGCAGCAGCCAACTACGGTTTGCTGTGTAGCTCATGCTGGGTGGCCCTGGGCAAGGGACTGGCACAGGCTGACTTTGCACCTCCCGGGAGGCCCTAAAGACAGTGCACCTGGTGGTCACATTCAACCACGCTGGATTACAACCCTACCACACCCATGAGGGACACAATCAAGGGGCACACTTGGTGAACACCAAAGCCCCACTGAAGTAAATCCTGCTTCATAGGGGTGTCTCCAGCACAGCAGCTCTTTGGTTGTAGTTGCAGC